GCTGGTACCGTAGTCGCCTCTCCCATCTTTCACCAGCACAACACATTGTACCTGCTCAGAATACGTCTCACCCAATGACAGACCAAGTCCTCTGTAGTGCATCTCTTGGGTTCGAGAAGGTGGCCAGATGGTTCCTTGGTCCTGTCTCTGAAAACAAAGTACATAAAACCCCCATTTCTATGTTCAAATTCTAAATTCCATCCAGATCAGTTTATTTTTGCAGACTGATAAAACCAAGTTTCTTCTCATCTGGTGGGCCATACCAAAGCAAGTGAATGCATTAAAACCATGCCGTAATGCTGCTATTTCTTGTTTGCAGAGGTAAAGAATTATGAGCTACCTTTTGGGTCAAAAGTCCAGGAGCAGCCCTGTGTGGACACCATGAGGGACATCGTGCTGCATGGCAGAGGTCGACCCGAGATCCCAAGCAGCTGGCTGGTGCATCAGGTAAGCTGGGGGTTCAGAAAAGAGCAACCCACATTGTCCCACCTCACTAAGCGAGCTTGAAAATCATTAAAGCTGTAATCAGAGCAAAAGCAGGCAGAACACCTGGGCCCTACTTCCAGCTCCATTTTGGCTGGCTTGAGCCCACATAAGCCCTACTAGACCCATTTCCCTGGCATATAAAAAGACATTAGCGAGAGGTACAGCAACATTTATTGATCAATAGCCACGATCAGGAAGGGCTACAAATGCCAAACAATAGTATTCAGTTATCTTGAGGATAACAGCAAAAAGAAGCTTTTCAGTGCAGGCTCTTCTCATGAAAGAGGAAGTCATTTAAACCCACCCCACTTCTCCCCTACCCACTGTACCCAGAAAGCTCTAGCCCAGAAATGCTCGGTCCCCTGCACACAGCAATCTCGCGGCAGGGACAGAGGGGAGGAAGGTGCATCCAGCCTCCTGCCTCCTTAGATGTGGAGGCTTCAAGCCCAAAATTACCTCTAACGTGAGAGGTCATGACTTGGCATGTGAGAAGAAAGACTTCCAGTTCTGCAAGAAAAGGCAAAGCAGGAAGCTTCTCCCTCAGGTGAAACAACCGGGAAACACGTGAAGCTGAGAGCAGGGAACCTGCTAGGAGGAAGTCTTGCCAATGGGAAATCTTTCTCCAGCCTGCAGCTCAGAAAGTCTGAAAGCAAAGCTCTAAATCAAAACACATCAGCAATGATGAGACGTGCTCTTGAAACCATCCACAAGCATACCCAGACCAATCAGCTACAGAAACACAGCTACCTCCTGGCCCCGACAGGGTCCTCGTTCCCTCATTACTTGCTTCCATGCATGCGCGCAATGACTGTACCATATATAGTGGAAATGAACAAACACTAGAACTACTTAAATCACAGCATCACAGAATTGTTGAGGCTGCAAAAGACCTCTGAGATCATCAAGTCCAGCCCATGACCCAACACCATCACATGGGCCAGACCAGGGCACTAAGTGCCACATCCAGCCTCTCCTTAAACACCTCCAGGGACAGTGACCCCACCACTTCCCTAGGCAGTGCATTCCAATATTTGATCACCAATCACGCACTTGTGGAAAAATCTCTGATCAACAATTAAGTTCATCTCAAAACCAAGCAGAAACACTGAGCCTGCTGGCTCACAGAGCCTTGCAGTGTTCACCCATAAAACACAACTGTATTGCTTCTGCTCCACCTGGATGGCACATAAAGCCAGGCTTTTCAAAAGGAAAGAGGTAATTTCATGGTCTTAGGACTCCACATATTCCCTACGATATCTCCTCTCAAAACCACATTTGCCTAAAGACTCATAACCAACCCAGCCAATCAAAGCTGCAGACAGCATCCAATGAATCTGTGGTTTCCGCTGGACCATCAGCGAGTTTATCAGGTGGTGAGGCCATTCCTGAAGTTCACCCAGCCTCTTCCCTCGATGAGGGCAAATACAGGAACTTCGATCAGCACTGCTACATATTCAAAGCCTTTGAGCGTTCACCTCAGACATTCACCTCCCAGCATCTCTGAAACCACAGGGAAAATATACAGAGGCTTGAGTTGTCAGAAATCATGCTCTGATAGAGCCTGACCCTAACCGCACTGGTTGCTGAGCTCAGGAAGGGCTGCCTGCAGTCACCTCCGAGAAATAACGCTGCTGTACTCAGGCTGGTTTAGCACATAAACAGAGGAAGGCTTATAAGCTTGTAACTTTTATTAGACTACCTGATGTTCACTGGGGAAGAGGAACAGAAAAGCCGCCTTGTGTTCCTGAAAGTTCACCCCTTAGCTATCTAATAAACATCTCTGGACAAACCCAGCTTTACCGCTTTTCCCAGCATTTTGCAACCCGTTTTCCCAGGATGAGGCATTGGGCAGCACCATCTGCTGGGAAGCTGCAGAAAGCCACCGCTTTGTGCCACTCCTGGGGTTGGCGGCTTCCTACGAGCAGAAGCATTTGGGTGACACGAAGAAAGGGTGACAAACCGCTCACCTGAATGGGAAGCGCTCATCTATGTTCCCATCAACAAAAATCAACGTGATGCAGAGCTCCAAATGCCACTCCTACGTTTCAACCATCAGGATCACTCTCAGTTAAGCACAGACCTACATAGTTGGCCCCTGTTTAAGATTTTCAGCAAACGTAAGCATTAATTTCCCTGACAGAGCTGACTCACAGAGCACACTGCCCATGAGCAGCTCCAGGGCAACTGAAGCCAAATGAAGAAACTTATCCCTGAAGTTTGCCAGGTAACTTATGAACATCTTATCTTGCTTCACAGGACACATTTTTTAAAAATGGCCAGGTATATAACCCATATCTGGCTCACGGAGCAGTTGGTACAGGACAGGAAGGAGCACTGGGAAAGCTGAAGTCAATACTGCCACTTAAAAATATACTTGTACAACTCGGCATCCTTTGGAAATCTGAGCTATCAAATACAAAACCCAAGCCAAGTCCATTTTGCGAGAGTAACAAGATGTTCCAGTTGTGATTCAAAAGAGCATCATTGCTACTTACATGGCAAACTGCAAATAAATGTCATGATTTCAGGGCAAAACAAGCACAGAAAACCTAACGACTAAGCCCTGTGACAGTGCCATGCTCTGCTTGAGAAAAGGCTTATTTTAAAAGCTTCAGCTAAGCTAGCTCATTTTTGCATGTTAATTATCCTGAAATCCTTTCAGCTGAGCTAATAAACGAGTGATGTAAGAGGTACTGAAACACACCATCTGTCAGTTTTACTGCACAATCCTATTCTTTCTAATCTGTGTCCGTTATGGAAGATTTAGCACGATGAACCTTAAGCAGAGCGCAGCGAGTTCCGGGTACGGTGCAGAAGGGCAGATGACACTGACAGCACAGCTCTGTAGGATTCACATTTTCCTCTTGTGTTGGTCCATACGGTTGGGGTTCTCCTTATCACAAATTAAGAAATACACAAAACCCACTGTAAACCATGAAGCTTTATTTAGAATAATGATTTTTCCACTGTGTTGCAACCTTGGCTGACAATGATTCAAAAAGCAATAGCACATGATAGGAAATTATATAGTCAAATGAAGGTTCAACATAGCTTCTGGTGTTAGCTGTGTTCTAGCTTAGGAGCGAGAAAAATACCAGCTAATTACCGCTGGCTTGTTTCTAACCCCTAAACATTGGGACCCTTTTCAGAGCACTATGCAACTGGGAAAAAATATATTACTGTGAGGCATAACCATTGCAACTGAGAGGAACTGAATGTGTGCTGGGGCACACCAAGAAGTGCCCAATCCTGTATAAACCAAGAGACCAGAGTTCAGCTGCACACTGTGAAGAGTATTTGGCTCGGCACACCCTTTCAGAAAGTTGCAAAGACAAGCAGTGAGATTTAAGTAGTTTAATTCCAAACTTGTCTTTGAACCCCACATCCCTCCCCTCTATCCAGGTCTAACAGCCAGAGCACAAGCTCGAAACCCAGAGACCCAGGCTCAGCTGCCAGCCTGCAGGTCACTTCTTGATTTCAGGATGCTCTGATCTGAACAGGCAAGGCTGAGACAGGAGACAGAAGGGCCTATTTCCTTCCAGCCCCCACTTCAGTCTCACAGCCCACACTAAACCAGCCTCCAGGGAGGGTGGAAAATGCCTCGGGACCACATCCCAGGTGAGCCACGGCTGCTGCTCCAGCACAAGCAGCACCAGGAGCGGTGTAAACGTTGGCCCTTGCCACAACTTACTTGAGGCCATTTCCTCCTGCAGTTAAGCTCAGACAAAACCCACGTTCCTGCAGGAAGCTGTCGCAAATGCGGTAAAATACTGTGATGGCGTTAGATCAGCTTCCAGCTCCTCTTTCTCCAGCCTTCAGATTTTAATTTTCAGCCCTTCTGACTGCAGGGCATGCGTTTTCTGTGCGACACCATCACAGAGTGCTGGGACCATGACCCCGAGGCTCGCCTCACCGCCCACTGCGTGGCCGAGCGCTTCAACCTGATGGCGCAGATGGATTGCGACGACATCCTCAACAACAACACGGACAATGAGGCCAGCAAAACAGCTTCTCCAGGTGGGGAGCACCAGGACAGTGACGGGAGCAGAAATACCCAGTGATGCAGCAGGCAAAGAGCCCCATCATGAGAAATGAGAGGATGAGTGAGAAGCATTTACCTCATGGGGGAAAAAAAAAGAAAAACAACAAAAAAAGCCCACCTCTCTCCGTTTGTCAAAATGGAACTAAGATCTAGCGCATGACTTATAAATCAGATCTGTTTCCTCCCACAGATTCAGTGAACTGTGGAATCAATACTTTTGTTAAAGCGCAACATTATGTATGAACTGATTTTGTACTTACTTTAAATGTATAATGATGCAAAGCATTCATTTTATTATTTTTTAAAATAATAATGTTTAATCTTTTATTAGTAAGCACCTGAATTCCATGCCTATCTTTTGAAGTCCTTCCGTCCTGCCATCATGAGTTTCTCTTCTAACTGCTTATTTTGCAGAGATCAAGATAATTTTCAATTTTTCTTTTTAATGGCCTTCACTTAAAGGAAAAAAAACAATCTGTTGTACCAACAGAAAAAAAAACATCTTGAGATACAGCGCACGCTCAGGGGAAAAATGCTGGCACCCAAGAAAATTACTCATTGATCAGACAGTCCTTAATACAATGTAAAGGTACCTGACAACCCAGTTTGCAAAAGGCTGATTTGCAGCAACTCCAATACACTTTTTTTCACTGGGGAATTTCTCCACTTGATAGTTCAGGTGGATGCATGAACTTCTCTACACAGGGGAAAGAAAAAAAAAAAAAAGCTGCCAAGGTAGACCCTGCTGTTTCATTCTGAGAAGTCTCCATACAGGATATCCAGATAACTTGTTCCTGTCCAGCTTCCAGCCAGCTCTAGCCAACAGACTGGTGCCACAGTAACACTGTCAACACAATCGTGCTGGCTAATTCTTCTCACAGCTCTTTCACATCCCTCTGCTGTGTTACTCAGCCTGAAGAAACACAGTCAGACAGAACAGGGACCTTTACTGCTGTAACGACCAGACCAAGCCAGGCTGCCTCTGCAGGGGGAAGGCAGCTAAGGAAAGGTAAGTCCTGCCTTGCTCTGAACTCTGGCACTGTGCAAATCTTAATCCCTCCTCCCTTGGGAGCAAAAGGTAACAAAACTCATATCTGCCGCTAAGCAGCCCTGCAAGCGCATACCTGACACTCACCTACACAGGGGTAACTCTCTGAGGGTACCATCAGAGAAGAATGCTTTGCCTGCCAGCACACAGCTGCATGGATCAATCCCTGCAAGAGAGGGGAAGGGAGAAATCTGTGCAACAGCCACAAGCTTTCTACAGCCGAGGCTGCCGACATGGAGCAGGGAGGCAGATCTGCAAGGCTTTCTACAACACACAGCTCGGAGAGCACCAGCCCATGCAAAAAGTGCTCTGTCTCTTGTTTCCATCTCTTTGGACTGTTTCCACAGCTCCTAAATTAAAGCCTAGAACAAAATCGTCACTAAACCCTTTGAAGGGGGACAGAAGGGGAATTAATTAGTTTGCTACTTCAAGGAAGTTTGCTTACTTCAGCTAGCACAGCTAAGGCTCCACCTGCGAGTGCAACCACACATTTCATTCTCACGAGTCCTCCACCTTGCTGCTACCTCTTGTCACCTCACAATTTTTCAAGCTAACCCTTTTCTCTTGAAGTGTCTCCTCTCCCGTTCATCATAAACACACCCTTTCCACCCACCCAACTTCAGCCACGTTTCTTTAACACATTACCCACTGCTCTACTGGACGTATGCCCAAGAGAAACCAAGCGCGCTGCAACTCTCCTGACATGGAGATAAGAAACTATAGGAACACACCAAACTCCCTCTGGGCTGTCCAACTTTTCCTTCCCGTAACATTCAGTGCTGAATTCCCCCTACCAAGTTTTGCACCAAGTTCTTTAGACACAATCCTGACAAACATGCTTACTTGCTCTTCCAAGTTCACTTCAGGAGGCTTTAAAAGAAGCTCTGACCTGTTAGTCCCACAGGTGACCACCCTGTGTGAACTCGACTCTGAAGGCTGCGTCTCCTATACCGATGGCCGAAATCCAAATTCTCTTGGGGTGGCTTAGTCCTAGGCTTGGCAGTTGATTCTGTAAATATGCTGAAAGACTTCCCAATCTATTCCCCTCCCCATGCCTAAAATCTTGAACTTACATACTGCATTTTTATCATGAAAACCAAGTCCAGAATCAAGCTTTCAGGATCACACACCCGAATGCCTGCATTAAATACGAGTAACACCTCACACTGTTTCCACACGCAGCAGCAGGGCACACAGCACATTGAAGAGAGCCCCTTATTTAAGCTCCAGGATCTGTTTATAACTCAGGGAGCCTAAAACCACTGAGATCAAGAAGAATTTTGCTTTTAACTTCAATGGTGCCCAATCAAGCCAAAAAGACAGAAGGGATCAAAAGCTCAAATTCCTACATTTTACCTTGTTGAACACACTGGGATTCTAAGAAATATCTACATAGGACACAGCAGTACGCCCTTCCCTTTGCTCCAGAAGGTCCAAGATGGAAACAACAGCAGTTATGCAAGAGAATCAAATCTGGTCACAGTTAAAAATACATCCATTAGTCCACAGGGTGCTTGCAACACTCAGAAGAATCACATAAATGACTTACAATTTAAGCTGGATAGTCAGTGGCTACATTTTTTTTTAAACTGTTTTCAATTATGTCCTTTGTTTCTAGAAGTAACTAGAAATTTGCATCGTAACTAAATCCACATCAGGAAGCCATTCCAGTTCTCGCAATCATCTGAGCAAAGGAAGGCTTTACTTTCTTCCTTTTTTTCTTTTTCCCTAGCAGCACCCTCCTGTTAAAAGAAATAGTTTCATGTATTTTAAAAGACTGCTTCTTCAGTGTCGGGTCTATTTTTACACAACAAAATTAGTTACAGCTTTCTTAGTGTGAAACCACAAGCATACCAGATGAGGGTGGAAGAGAAGTAACTTGACTAATAATATTATATAAGGAACACAAATGGGTTTATGGTCGACATGGGAGCTTTTCAGTCTGTTTCACAGTCATCACCTTGACAAATTCCCAAATCAAAATTTTCAACAGAACTCGGTGACAGAGTCAAAAGTCTATTTTTTTAATAAGCACAAGTTTGATCCCTGGAGTACGCTCAGCTCAGCCCATAAAGGTTTGTTTTCTGCTCTGATCACTGCAATGTTAAAAGCTGGACCTTGCACTGCAGCCCTTGCTGTTTGATTAAAGCAGAGCTGCCACGTGGCACAGATAAAACAACTATGAAACACATGCAGTGCGCTCAATTCATCTCCTGTCCCTCTACCACCCCATCTGGTGCAGGTACCAGAGAAGTTCACATGTTGGCACTGATTCCTGGCCCATCTCCTGGAACTGGCCAAGGAGCACACCCCAAATGTGCCACAGACCCAGAAACACAGAGAACTAATCCCATTGTTTTCATTTTTATTTTTATTCCTGGTTAAAGATGAAGATGTCCAGTGGATATCCAAAACTAACACAACAGGATGACTGCATAGAATACCACAAGACAGAGGGGCCTAAAACATTCTTCTGCTGGAGAATATAGTTACTACTCAAGTGCGCAGTGCCAAAATATTCTGCTTTAAGGGCTAAGGAAAGCCTAAACAGACAGATCTCCACATAAAAGGTAACAACCATCTGCTCTTCCTGGTCACTCGATCTCTAGGAAAGCAGACAGACCAAATTAATCATTTTGTAGTTTTATTATCCCCACCCCCACTTCTCACAAACAGACTATGACTCGCATTGAGATCTCAGTGCATTTCACAGCAAAAAAAAAAAAAAAATTGTACAAGAGGATCCAAATAGTTGTGCATAACTCCAACTCTTTTTTTGCACAATTTAGGGTTTGTGTTGAAAGTTATTATGGTTATTTAAACCTTCTGATGCATTCTTACACTTGTGTCTTCTCCATGGAAAACATCTTACCAGATCACACAGTTGTGAGCTCTCATGATGCTGGATCAGGTGCAGCCATGGCCATGGATAGGGAGTGGCAGATAATGCTATATACACTGATTGGAAGACTACATCAGAAGAAAAAACAGATTAAGGCACCACTGTTGGAAAAATTAAGGTAGCTTGTAGTTACAACAATAACAAAAGCCATAATAAGTACTATTCTTAATTGCCAGCAATTCTTAGACTTCAATAAAATAGTTATAAAAAAAAAAAGAAAAACACAAAAGTATGTTTGTACCTGAATACAGTTTCCTGATATCTGATTGTGTTTCAAATCAATACCCAGTCCTCAACATGATCAGCTTTTGTTTTCTTATGGTAAGATGAAAAAAACAGGATCTAGAGTCCAGGTATCCACAGGTCACATTTCACTGCTTTGTTCTGAATAACACCACAGGAGAAAACCCAAAACAATCCAAAGGACAGTTTGTAACACTGATACTTCACCTCTGAGATGATTAGATGGGCAGAGAAATTTAAGTACAAAATCGTATGTTCTCTGTTCGTTTTGAAAGCCTTAGTCCTCAGGAAGGGAAGGTGGAGGAGAGGGGAAAAAAAAAAAAAAAAAAAAGGCCAAACCTCATTATATTATAACATGAGAAAAAAAATCAAAGTCACTCAAAGAGATTTAATAAAATTAGGAGTTGAAAAGTCTTCAAATTACTTTTCCAATTCAAGTCAATTACTTCAAGTATATTAAAATGTTTCAGAGGAAAAATTTCTCCATGGTTACAATTCTAATTGCTTTTATAAATCCATAAAAAAGAGCGGTAGTCTCTACATATATCCCATATTCCTCCAATGCATGCACGCGTTCTCTCTGGAGAAAAAAAGTCATCACAATCCAGCTGTTTCTTAACACTGATTTCAGGCACATCTGTCAAACACCCCTCCAGTTTTCGATGAAAAGGTTAATCACTGGGAACAAAAGCAGCAATTTGTTGTTGCTGTTGTCTACATGGGTACTGAGCAGGTTTCAGTCACTGAAGAGCGTGATGCAGGTTCTGAACAAGTTCCCATGTCACTCCAAAATCCAACAGTTCCTTCTTCCCTTAGGCAGCTTTTGCAATCAGATCTACTTAGAAGAATCTTACACAATTCAGATAAAATCTCTTGGGTCATAGAAAAAACAAGTTGGTTGAATGTACCTGGCAAGTTTGTCTCTACAACTTTATTTTTAATTTTTTTTTAATAGCTTTAAAGTGACCTAGTATATTTTTATTCCTTTATGCTCATTTAAACTTCTGCAGTTACATAAAAAGGGGACACTCTGATTACTGTGTTTTGAGAGATGAAGGAAAAGGAGAGGGAAACCAGAAAACTCATCTTAAAGCAGCTTATCTAGTTAGTGTCTGTTTGCTGAGCTTGCACAGCAGAGACTGT